TCTGACCTAGAGGGAACCTTCATGCTGGGGTAGAAACTTGACATTAGAAATTGATTTTAAATTTAAAAAAGGAACTCCACCCCCAAAAAGAAAAGAAATTAGGAAAAGGTTCTGCTTTCACTTCTGCTCCTACCTTATGTGGGACGAGAACTATGGACCTCTTTTGAAGAGACTCCTCATTTCTGGATACTAAGATGGTGTGCCAGACATGGAGAGGCATTGCTCAGATTCCCCCTCCAAGAAAGGGCTCCTGGCTGAGCTGTGAAGAGTGTGGTTAGCTGACAGCCTCCACTGCTCAGATTTGCCTCAGTTCTTGAGCTGAGGTACTGGTCTTCTTGAGGTGGCTCCAGCCAATGACTGAACATGACTGTGGTACAAAGTCCTATCTAATTTCTGCCTGACGCAGGACTCTTCCAACATCCTTCAGAGCTTCCCACTGGGCTGACAACTTTTGTTGGATCCATGTCACCTTTTCCTAATCCTTCTGTAATCCTGCCTCCTCCTTTTTCCTTTCACAAATGTTGCTCTCTGGTAAGCCTTTTACACCCCAAATCTGTCTCAGTATCTGCTTTCCAGAGGACCCAGCTGACACAGATGGTATGTTGTTAGCCCCAAGCAACCTTTCATTCATAAAGGGCGTGGATATTTTTGAACTGGATTTGAGTTGGTACCAAGAGAATAAATAATCACGCTGGGTGCTAGGGACCAAAAAATACTTTCATTCTGGCACATGAATTAAATAAGCTTGTGTTTCTTCCTATTCTTGGCACTGACAATGTTTTGATATTATAGAACATGGCTTGGATGTTCCCACTGGCTTTCTCAGTGAGTGATCTGTTCAATTCATTAAAAGTATGACTGAAGACAAGGTCACTAAGTACATTTCCAGTCAGCTAATTCGTTTCAGTCGAGTTGCCTGGCTCTAAATGGATTGTTATCCGTTCATATATGGATGCCATAAGCCCTTTGCCCACACGCTGAGTCACAATGTAGACCAATCGTTTCTCAACCACCTGGAAGACTGTCACCCTTCTCTTGGGTCACTTATAAAACATCCTGTATCTGGTGTTGTGTGAGGAAGTCCTAATGTGTTGGTGACCAGGTTCTTCATTTGAAGCCATGAATGAAAGGGAAGAAATTTTCCTTTTTGGTATGGAAGTACCTCCTAATTCCTTATAAGAAGAACAGTCTCTTCATGTCATCCATCCACCCATTCAATTAGCAAATATCCATTTACTAAGAAGAGTTGTTACATGCTCTTCACTGGGTCAGACTCTTGGCGGCTCCACCCAGAGTTCTACGTTTCTGAGAAATCTGCATGTGGCTTCCCCAGTTGTAACCACCAGGCAGATGCCTCTGAGCGTCTAAAGCATTGCTTGTTCCTGTTCCATTCGTCCTTCATGTCAGAAACATCAAGCTTTGATCTTCGACAGAAGAAGTCTTAAGAGTCGGGGTTCTGGGATCACACAGTCTTAGCTTCAAATACGGCTTCTCCTACAGACTGACAGTGTGATCCTGGTCTGTTTACTTAACCTCTCTGAATCTTAGTTCATACCTCTGTAAAACAGGACAATCCCTATCATATAAAGCTCCTATGAGGATTAAATGAAAGGATATTTATAAAGCACTTATCTAATACTGAGTTATGACTCTATTTCTGACATTAAAATATTGTTTTTGTATATCAGGCTCTTGGACAGATGATATTTGTACTGTTGCCTCCTCATTGTAACTATTTGCCTTGGTGAGTGGATTCTGGCACAATCCCATCCTTGAACAAATGTGACTTTGAACAAGACCTTCTTTCTTTGATTACCAGATTGTTCCTAAGTTTGATGAAGCCTGAAAGCCTTAAATATAAAAGTTGCTGATGCAACTTCACCGTAATATAGCAGTTTGGATTCAGGCTTCATGTTTGAAATGTGGCTATAGGATTGAATATTCGCTCTCTGGTCTTAAAAGATTGGTAGATATTTGGGGCCTAGGCAGTTCATCCCTGGAATGACTGGCTACCCTTAACAAGAGTCAGGACTCTACTCAGCTGATCCAATAAAAGATAAGGTGCAAAGACTAGCTTCCCAATACAGCGTCAGAGGCCAAAAAGTACCCTTGGTCCATCTGCTGTCATTGTGCTAACTGGGACAGCCTCATCAGAGGTGCTGTTTGTCCCCTAGCAGAAGGGAAGGGGTCCATTTCTTGGGGCCTGTAAACTGGAAGTGCAAGTCCATTCTCAGCTCTTTCCCCACAAAACCTTTACTTCCCAGAGACCCTCTCTCTCCCTCTCCACGGGACTGGGAAAGGATGGATGTCTATTAAAGCTTATGCTCCACTCATCTGAAGGGAAGAAATTCTGCCTCTGCTTCTGGGCTTAAGTGGTCAGTCTTTAATTGAGTCAAATCACATTTTAGTCTTTTCCATTTTATTTCTCATCTTCATTACTATTGGCTTGCAAATAAAAAAAATATATATTATTGCAAGTATTTTCTCCCAAATTGTCTCTTTCATTCTTTTGTGACTTTTATAGAACAGAACTGTTTAATTTTGATGCTGTCCTATTTATGAAATTGCTGTTTTAGGACTCATCCTTTTGGTATTGTATCTAAAAAATCTTTGCCTAACATAGGGTGACAGAGATTTTCTCCTCTGTTCTCTTTGAAAAGTTTGTAGTTTTAGGTTTTCAGTTTATGTCTATGATCCATTTTGTGTTAAGTTTTGTATATGATGTAAGGATTGAAATTCATCTCACTACATGGATAGCCCACTGTTATAGCATCATTTGTTGAAAATATCATATCCTTTGACAAAAATCAGTCATTCATTCATATAGGTGTTGATCATGCTAATACCACACTGTCTTTCTTTTTTTTTTTTTAAAGATCCCATTTATCCATTTGACAGAGACCACAAATAGGCAGAGAGGCAGGCAGAGAGAGAGGAAGGGAAGCAGGCTCCCTGCTGAGTAGAGAGCCCGATGCGGGGCTTGATCCCAGGATCCTGGGATCATGACCTGAGCCGAAGGCAGAGGCTTTAACCCACTGAGCCACCCAGGCGCCCCGCCACACTGTCTTTCTTATGGTAGTTTGAAATAGAATATTGTTAATCTTCCAACTTGTTCATCATTTCCAAATTTGTCTTGGCTATTCTAGACCCTTTGCATTTTCATATAAATTTAAAATCTATTTTCCAGTTTCTAGCAAAAAAAGTCCCTACTATGATATTTATGTTGGTTAAGCAAATGGAGGAAGTGATGTACACAGCCTTTGCCGCCAATTCAAGGTCAAGTCTTCCATCAAGGGGCAGGAAAACCCATAGCCAACCCATAGTGGCTAAAGGTGCATAGAACTCAAAATCCCAGTGCCTGGATGCTGGTTGAGCAGGAATTAGGAATAGTCACAGGGGCTGGAGTGACCTTTTTTTTTTTTTTTTTTTTTTAAAGATTTATTTATTTATTTGAGAGAAAGAGCGAGGGAGCTAGCACAACAGGAGAAGGGAGAAGAGAGAGAGAATCTCAAGCAGACTCTGCACTGAGCACAGAGCCTGATGTGGGGCTCTATCTCAGGACCCTGAGATCATGACCTGAGCCAAAATCAAGAGTGAGATACTTAACCGAGTGAGCCACCCAGGTGTTCCTGGAGTGCCTCTTTCAGTGGAGCTACAGATAGAATGCCACAGTTCCTAGGTTCACTGCCTTGTACACAGCCCCATCCAGGACACCAACCTCTTTCTGTTTTGGGGGTAGTGTAGAAGGGGGCAAGGCGCAAGGCATAAATGAACCACAGCTTTTGACAAGCCCCAGCTGGGGACCAAGACCCTACTCACCTGCAACGCTCTTCCTACATGCTCTCTGCATCTTCTTACCCTCCCTAACTTTCAAGACCTATGCCAAGTCCCACCTTCTCCAGGAATAATTCTCTGGCCAGTATGTGCCAGACATTATGCTGAGGGTTCTACAGACATCATCCCATCAAATCCCTATAGTAATCTATGAAGAATAGATTTTGGAGGAATAGATTTTGAAGATTTTGAAGAATAGATTTTGAAGCCTTATGGCTTCAAAATGGCAGAGATAGGAAGGAAGCCCAGATCTACATTAACTCCAAAGCCAGGTTCTTAAGCCCTTTCTACATGATACCACCTCCTCAGTGTTACCCCTTTTCTGACCTACGATGGTTTGGACTTAGTCTTGCTCAGTTGGGTTATTTCATATGCTTGTAGAATCAAGTTTTCATTGAGGAGATGAAGCATTTCCCCAACTCCATTGAAGGTTGCCTGAAGGAACAGATGACATCTTGAACTTCTCCATCTCTCTTACAAGGCCCTGTAGTCTAGTGAGGTATACACAGGGTTAAACAATTTGTCCGTTCATTGTGGGGGAAGGGGGAAACCACAGTGGTTCAGAGAATAAGGAAAAGAAATTAAAATATACTGAATACCAGAAACCATATTTCATTATTTTATTTGATCCTACTTTGATCAACTCTATTTTAATGTTTTGTGAAAGGTACTATCATCTTTGGTAGAGATAGTTTCTTTGCTTCTGAAATTAATAACAATGGAGCAGCATGCACAATTCTGCACACTATGTGAGTGGTCGAATATTGACCCCTACACACTTCTCTTCCCAGTTATAGTGCGTTCCCACCACACATCATCGCCTTTCTGATTCCAAGCCAGATCCACGGTTAAATCTGGTTCCAAAAGGCAGCTCTTTTTTTCCCCCACTATTTTTCTTGTGTATGTGTTTTGGGAAATTTAAGGCCACCAAGTAGATCTAAAAGAGATGAGACTGCCAAGTTTCAAAAGGGCAAGAACAATTCTTGGCCCCACACCAGTGAATGACAGACAATTTCACGGAGTGGGAGGAGGAAAGGTGGTGTCCCCTGGACAAAAAAACCAGACCCAGACCAGATACAAAAACAGAGAAGCTGGGGAGTGGAGCCACCATCCAGGAGAGACTCCTCTCAGCGACTGTGGGGAAGACGGTACCATCTCCTGCCAAGATGAAGCTGCTGTTGCTGGGTCTGGGGCTGATTCTAGTCTGCGCCCATGAGGAAGGAAATGATGTTGTGAGAAGCAACTTCGATTATTCAAAGGTAAAGTTAGTAGAGTGCAGTAGCTTTGTACCTGTGGGATGGTATGGAGGAATCTGGGGCAACATGGCCGTACTGGAGGGCGGGTGCTCAGACTTTCCACTAAGAGCAGTTGTCCCATGTGAAAAGATGGCAATGTTTGGGGGACCTCTCTTCTCCCTGGAGGGACAGTCGAAAGAGCCCTAGATGTGGCACCAATTGACCTGAGGTCTAATTCCACGTTCATGTCACCACCATGAGTCCCAGCCCACAGGCCAGGGTTCACAGAGACACGTGATGTGTCTCTGTGGTGTTCCCTTTCCTCTTTTCTTACCCAATCATTTTACTGATTTATTGCAGATTTCAGGATATTGGAATTCCATTTTCATGGCCTCCGATGTCAGGGAAAAGATAGAAGAAGGTGGTAGCATGAGGGTTTTTGTGAAACACATCGAAGCCCTGAGCAACTCTTCTCTGCTCTTTAACATGCGTACAAAGTAAGTGTGGCCTTTTTCACTTGGGAAAGGAAACACGAGAGTCTGAATATGGCGTTGGAACTCTGTGTGGGGCACACAGGCGTACACATACATCCCAGGTCTGTACTCAAAATCAGAGCCCATTACCTGACACTGATCCAGGACCTAGAGAGCCTGGGCCTTTTCTAGATTCAGAGAAAAGAATCGTGACAGAAATATATTAAAGCAGCAGTAGAGGAGGTAAAGGGTAGAGAGTTTCAGAATCATAAGGAGTGTGGCATAGGTTTGGAGCACAAGATTTGGAATTGGCACCCTATCTCTCCCTTGAACCTCTCTCTTACTACCTGTATGACCAAGAAACTTCATCTCTTTCCACCCCAACTTTCCCTTGGGTAAAGGGGATAATAATATAATAATAATTTCCTTGTGGTGTTTGGCAAGGACCATGTGAGGTAATGTTTGTAGAGCACTTTTCTGAGAGGTTGGCACATGGTGAGTCTGTGGCTAATTATCTAACCAGGTGTTAGTAGTAATAGTGGGAAATGGTGGCAGAAGACCAGTGATGGAAGCCATTGATTCATTCTTAAAGTATCACCTGAAGTGAAGTAATGCAAATAAAAGCTCTTTGGAAACTGCACCCCCAAAGTGTTCAACAGTTAAGTGGAATCAGAAACTCATAAGTAGAGTGTGGGGGAGCTAGTCCATCAATACTCTGGGACGTCAGCTTATTCTGTTTTACAGAGTGGATGGAAAGTGTACTGAAATTTCTCTGCTTACTGACAAAACAGAAAAGGATGATGAATATAGTGTTGTGTGTAAGTACATGAAAATGTCTTTCTATATTCTACTTCCAAGCCCAAGAATTTACTAAACCCAATTTTCTTCAGGATCTTGAGCCATTCCCGATCAGTGTTTATGCACATGATGTAATGGGGGCCATCTAATAGACAATATCCTGAATTGGGAAGAATCTTGCATACAAAAGCCAATGCCTGGCACATCATACCATCAGATAAAGAAGGCAGTTTGGTTAAGGTACGTCCACCAAGGAAAGAAAATTGGCAGAAAAACAAGTGGCAGGACAGCTTCTCATTCCCTGCCCAATTTCTGATGATGTCTGGTGGGCCATTGCCACAGCACATGGCTCAGCATATAGCACTGGGTATGGAAAGCCAGTGGGGCTTGTAGAGAGGACAGAGAACCAGTGTTGGCAGATATGGTCAGGAGTGGTAGGTGAGTCTCAGGGAGGATGACAGAGCATAAGTTGCCACTTTGGTTAAATTTTTCTACCACTAGTAGTCATTGTACCAATATCCCTTGGGATGTTGCCTCATGAAGCCCAAGGGAGATGTAGATGAAGGCATTAGATATCACTCTCTATCTCCTCCACCGTATGCACTTGAATTTGTTTTGTGGATGAGACCAGGTAAAGGGTTTCCCTTGCTTCCCATGGACTAAACAAGCTCTGAGCTGTATTCTGTTTCCTCCACAGATGATGGATACAATGTATTTAGCATTGTTGAAATAGACTACACTGGCTATATTATGTTTCATCTTGTGAATTTCAAGGAGGAGCACACATTCCAACTGATGGAGCTCTGTGATAGAGTATTTTCACGCTGACACTCATCTTGGGGTGGGGAGGGAGAAGAGGGAAGGTAAGCCTGGAGACAAAGCAGTCCTCCCAGTTTTATCCTGGAATGTCTTAGCTCCCCTGAAGACAGATGCTCACCTTTGGTAATCCCTCAGACTTGGTGATGGGAAAATGATAACATCTTTCATCATGCCAGAAGTATATCCTGAAGATGTCACATTCAAGACAGGTTATAACTCATCCCCAAGACTTCCACCGAGGCACCCAATCAGTGCTGTCCATTTCCCCGTCCATCTGGAGCCACCCCATCATGAGCCTCAGTGACATACTTAAGACACAACAGTTCCTGTCACTCTTCCCACAGCCCGAGAACCAGACGTGAGTGAAGAAGTCAAGAAAAGGTTTGTGAAATATTGCCAAAAACGTGGAATTGTTAAGGAAAACATAATCGACCTGACCGAAGATGGTAAGTTTAACTATTTTTGGTTTTCCCTTCCTAAATTCTGATGGGGAAAAAACCAAGAGAAGACAATCCCCCCCAATCAGTCCCCTTTGTCTTACCCTGGAAAGTGAACTGGGGTCAGTGTTCTCATGTACTCTGTCTTTCCAGATCGCTGTCTCCAGGCCCAGGGGAGTGAAGAGGACCAGGACTCCAGGTTGGTGATCTCTGGTGGAGAGGGTGACCCAGGGATGAATGCCTTCCAGAAGCATTAGGGGTTTGTGTCCAAAGATGATAATGAAAATAATTTGGTAAGGAAGCTTATGGGGAGAGCTTGAGATGTGGAATTGGAGTGGCTGGGTTCAGGACTCATTCCCACCATGAGCTTTTGAACAAATGACCTAAACAAATACAAGGGGAACAACAATGTCTCCCCTACTGAGTTACCTCGCAGACATAATGCTGGTGAAAGACCTCAGTAACTGATGACGTGCTAAAAATGATTAAGACTTAAACATTTGAAAAGGGGAAAGAGTAACGGGGTGTGAGTTTCATACTCATTCCTGAATATTCGTGCACACACCCGTTTCTGTGTTCATGGTCTATCTTCCATGCCCAGAAGCCATCTCACACTCTAATGTATGGCAAACATTTCTCTCTTTGATCTCTGCACATCTTTAACTTCTCATCTCAGACTAGAGCTGTCTGAACGCCTGCTTGTCTTGTAAGCTGGAAAATAGAATCTGAATTTTCTCTTTGGTTTCCTAGCTTAGATATATTGTGGAGCTTTGTTAAGAAGTTGTGGGTTGCATAAAGTCAGCCTTTATTAAAGGTAGCTATGGCTTTGCCATTATCTCTCCATTTATCAAAAACTCTTCAAAATGTCTCTTGCTGAAGATGGCAGAAACAAGCCTAGCATCCCTCTTTGCTTCCTTTCTTTGATTCATAGATTCAGTTTGGGGAAGATTAAGATGGAAACAGCAAGAGGAAAAAAAAAAAAAGGCATTTACTCATTGCCCTCCCTCCCCTATTCTGGCAAATAACGTAGGTTAGAACACAGGTTGATATCTTCTTCACCATTTGGCTTGATAATAAAAAATTTTTTTTGCTCTTAATTCAATCCACGAAGTGCTTAATACATTTCTGTGTTCTCTTTTTTATCTGCTGATTTAGTGCTGAGTGACTACTTCCTCATCTGGGCTCCAGGATCTTCCCTTCCATGGTCCCCACACCACCTAGTAACAAGTTCTGGGACCTGAATTCCACCATTATCACTTGTGGAAGCATTAGCTCTGTCTGCATTTTCAGGATCTTCCCTAATTATCTAGGAAAACTCATCAACCGACCAAGAATCAAAGATTTCCTCCTAACTTCCAACTCTCTGAATAAGACCTTCTTCTACCTGGGCAATAAATGATTAGCCTTGCAGTCCTGTGGTTTGTCTTTGGGTATATGAGAGACGTGGGGCTGACGACAAACAAATGGGGAGGGGTGACCTCTGAACCCATAGTCCTTCTCTAACTTCTCAGAATCGTCCCCGAGTTTCTCCCTCCTCTGTAGTAATTATCTGTCCCTGTGAATGCCACTTACCCTTTGATTTGTCTATTTCTTAGTGACCTGGTAAGACAACCATGCCCAGAGTTTGCCCCATCCTAGAATTCTCTTTTTCAATGGTGCTGACAGACAGATGCTGCTGACCTTGGTACCGGCTCAACGTGTTTCACGATATGTCCCCATTTCTTAGCTTCTCCATGCCATTCATCCTAGGAGATGGTCAGTGTCCTTCCATTCTCTTGGTAAAGCTCTTTCAATCACTACGGTTATCTACTGTGAACATACTGAGGGAAATTCTTTTTTTTTTTTTTAAAGATTTTTATTTGTTTATTTGACAGATCACAAGTCGGCAGAGAGGCAGGCAGAGAGAGAGAGAAGGAGGAGGAGGCAGGCTTCCCGCCGAGCAGACAGCCCGATGCGGGGCTCGATCCCAGGTCCCTGGGATCATGACCTGAGCCAAAGGCAGAGGCCTTAACCATTGAGCCACCCAGGCGCCCCGGGAAATTCTATGAAGTATGAGCAACCCCTACCTTCCACAGTTTGCACTTGCTACAGTCAGAAGGCATCAAGGGGCCAAAATGCCATCAGCTTCTTCTTTGGGGAGCTTACAGGCTTTGGGGAAAGGGAAATTAAAGATCCGCCTCCACTTATAAACCTTTTGCAATAGCGTAAAACTTAGCAAGACCTGGGTGGGGTTGTCATACAAAAGGAATGCCTTGGTCATTAAGGACATAAGGCTAATGAGGGGAGACTTTAGAGGCATGCGGCTCTCCCCACATGGTACTCTGCCTCCAGGTCAGAAGAATAAGTTAGGTTGAGACTTAACCGCTCCAGACCTCAGCATTTGATCTCGTTGGCTGAAATATGGTGAAAGGCTATGTAAAAAGTTAACCAGTCAGGAGAAGATCCCTCATTTTTTCTTTAATTGAAGGATGGTTGACACACAATGTTACATTAGTTTCAGGTGTACCACACAGTGATGCCACAAGTCTGTCAGATGGAGTAGCCATCTCTCTGATGTCAAATCTCAAGAAAATCTAGGACCCCTCGTTTTCTAAAAAGATTGATTGATTGATTTAAGGGGGCAGAGAGAGAGAGAGAATCTCAAGCAGACTCCCCACTGAGCATGGAGCTCAACCTGGGGCTCGATCCCAGGACCCTGAGATCACAACCTGAGCCGAAATCAAAAGAGTCAGACGTTTAACTTATTGAGCCACCCAAGTACCCCTAAGACTCCTCTTTTTTTTTTTTTTTAAAGATTTTGGGGGCACCTGGGTGGCTCAGTGGGTTAAGCCTCTGCCTTCAGCTCAGGTCATAGTCTCAGGGTCCTGAGATCAGGCTCTCTGCTCAGCAGGGAGCCTGCTTCCCCCTCTCTCTCTGCCTGCCACTCTGCCTACTTGTGATCTTTCTGTGTGAAATAAATAAATAAAATATTTTTAAAAAAGCTTAACTGTCAAAAAAAAGATTTTATTTATTTATTTGAGAGAGAGAGAGAAAGCAAGAGAGAAAGAGAGCACGAGTTGAGGGGAGGGGCAGAGGCAGACTCCCCACTTAGCAGGGAGCCTAATGCAGGGCTCAGTCCCAGGACCCTGAGATCATGACCCGAGCCAAAGGCAGATGCTTAACCAACTGAGCTACCCAGGCTCCCCATAGGACCCCCTCATTTTTAAATGTTAACACTTCAGGGATTGAACAGCTAATACCCAGAGGGGCATGGTTTAACATACCCTTGAGAACACTTAAGACATTCCCAACAATAACAATACAAGGAAGGCCGCCTTAATGATGGAAGATGGCTGCATAGCATCATACGACAGCCAAGAGGGAGGCACAGAAAGACCCCCTGTTGTTCTCAGGTCAAGATGGCAGCTTGAGCTCACACTGAGACCTACCCTCCAACTCCAGACACTTGATGCAAATGAGTCAAGAAATGTTCAGAACACTGGAAAGCAAGGAGTGAAGATGTCTGTAGATCAGAAGCAGACCAGTCTTTCTGGAAATGGAAGGGCAAGGCAGGGAAAGAAAGAAATGATGTGGGCAAACAAGCCAGAGCAGCACCGTCCTCTGGGTTCTGAGTACAGAGCTGGGTCCCTCATGCAGTGACTCATGCAGGATTGGAAGCAAGTGTCACAGTGGCCAGTGGGGCAACAGAAGGAAGCTGACTGCCTATGGCCTGCAAAGGAGAAACCACCACCCATTAAGAAGGAAAAAAACAGCCCCTGCTATTCTGGAACCAGCCTGACTCCCACCACTAGGCTTCCGTGTTATCACAAATTGGCATGATGCTCACAGCTAGACCATTGTTAATCCAATTAGACATAAACAATCTCATCAAGCATCAACATCAAACTACGTCACTCTGAGATCATAAAAACAAGGTCATTGCGCAAATATGCCCTCTCTGCTAAAATGAGTGAATTCTACATCTTTATCCTCATGTTCATGTCCTCTCCTTATGGATAAGATTTATTAAGATAACCAATCTGACTCGCCCCTGCTTTCTAACTGCACCCAATCGAGAGTTTCCCCAGATCCCCCCTAAATCCTGTAGTAGGTTCTTCCTAACCCTCTCTTACCAAGATGCTCATGGTTCCCCATGGTGACGCTCTTCCTTCCTGCAATAATTAACCCAACTTGTTCAACTCCAGTATGTTCCTGGTGATCTTTGTTTGAAGAGTATTAATCTTTTTAGGACTAGAACCAGGACCCACTCCATGCATGTGCTGCCTGGAATTCTGGGAGGCACCAAGCTAAATCACAAATGCTAGGTCTGGTTTAATGCTGTGCATGCTTAGGGGCTAGGACATGGGACCCTCCAAGGAGTTTGGCCTGGGCAACTAGGAGGATGGAATTGCCATTTTCTCCAGTCAGCTGGAGGAACCAGTGTAGTGGGGAAGGACCTCAAGATCTCAGTTTGGGACACTTCATTAGTTTATCTACCTTGCCTGCTATTAAAAAAAAAGAAAAATTAAAAAAGGAGGGGGAACCCTACAATAATCCGGTGTGGTTTAATGAAGATAGAATTAATTTTGCCCTCCCATGAACAGTCTGAAGCAAGAGTTCCAAGTTGACTGGCAATTCTGTTCTTTCTATCTTGTTTATCCAACTCTAGGACAGTTGTCTTCATCCGTGTGGTTAAGCTGAGTTGTAGGAAGTGAGAGAAAGGAGAATGTGGTGCAAACATGGTCTTATGCCCACTGTCCTCTGTGGCCCCTGGCTCTGGGAGATTCTGGTTCATTGCACCACCAGCCACACCCACATTCCGCTTGTCAAAACTAGGAGAGATTACTTTGAGGATTAAAGAGTCACATGCTTTTGGGGCGCCTGGGTGGCTCAGTGGGTTAAAGCCTCTGCTTTTGGCTCAGGTCATGATCCCAGGGTCCTGGGATCGAGCCCCGCATCCGGCTCTCTGCTCAGCAGCGTGCTTGCTTCTCTTCTCTCCCTCTGCCTGCCTCTCTGCCTACTTGTGATCTCTGTCTGTCAAATAAATAAATAAAATCTTTAAAAAAATAAATAAATAAATAAAGAGTCACATGCTTTTGCTACAGGCCAGACCTAAATTTCTTTTGGCAATGCAAATTCTTTAAAGACAGTAGTAGGCTTCTGATGCATTTAACTCTTGACTTCTCCTGAATGGATAACCAAATCCCCCAAAATCTTATTCAAGCATAGATTTAAGCCTGGAAACACCAGGATTTTCTAGATCGACATCTATGCCCTT